AAGCTTCTTTCATCTGACTTGCCAGGCGTTACCTCCACGAAAAGTAACATCAAACTTCAGGATGCTTTGGTCGTTGTTCTTGATTAGCAGATGCTTCCCACGTCCCATACTTACATCTCGTTACGTCTTCCTCATGTATTGTAATTTACAAAAAGTTGAGATCGCCACGTAGACACACTCTTTAAACCACCACTACCTTGGCCAGTGTTGGGAAAAACGGGAATATACATCACACCGCATTTTGGGGGGGTCGGGTAGAGGTTTAGCAATAATAAATTTTTTGGATATTGTGAATCCGCATGAAAAGCCGAAAAAAAAATTAAGGAGTTGCATATTTAAAAGGAAGGACGTTGGGGGGTAAGCCGTGAAGGAGGTGTGCTCACAATGGTGCTTCAAGGAATGCATCTGCCGATAATATTGGCTTGTTTCGTATTTTGTTTTTTGTTGTTTGTTTTTTTTTCTTCTCATTTCGTTTTAGTGTTCTGCCAATGTGACAGGGCGTTTTCTATGGACAACTGACAAAGGCAAACAAAAGAGGAAAAAACAAAAAACAGAGGTTGGCAGTTGAAAAGAAGGACGGGGGGGGAAGCTGTGAAGGAGATGTGCTCATATTAGTGCTTCCAGGAATACATCCACCCATAATATTGGATTGTCTTATGTTCTGTTTGTTTGTTTGTTTATTTGTTTTTTCTCGGTACGATTCATTGTCTGCCAACGAGGCAGGGTACTTTCCACGGGCAGATGACACTTGCAACAGACGAGGCTGCAATCTCATATGTATTCAAAAAGTTTTGTATCCAGTTGTTTTCTCGTCCAAAGAGTACGTTGTTTTTTGTCGAGGTTTGTAATGCCTTCTATTTGTTTTTACGTCCCCAGCATAGCCCTGCCAACGAGGCAGGGCGCTTTCCACGGACAACTGACACTTGCAACAGATCGGGCTGCAATCTCACATGTATTCAAAATTTTATATCCAATTGTTTTCGCGTTCAAAGAGTAAGTTGTTTTTTGTCGAGGGTTGTAACGCCTTCCAGTTGCTTTTACGTCTCCAGCATATTAGTTGGTTTTTCCCTTTTATTTCGTTTTTTTTCTTCCCGTTCATTTCCGTAGAGTACCGGAAAAGAAAATACAATGGGACCCAGATTCGAGAAAACTCGGTGCGTACTGAAATTCAGCATCGGTAAAAACAAAATTGAAGGTAGTGGTGGTTTAAGGTCAAAAAAATTCAACCCATGTAATCCAAACATACGATTTCTTGATTCAACAAGCTTGTTGGCCAATTTAATTTCACCGTATAGCTACATCAGTAACACAAATATAAGAAGCAAATCCTCGACTCGTCGATCAACCTTATCTTGTTTACAAAGATAACTTGTCAATGTTCTTACAAGTTTTCGAACGTTCCTCTTCTCTTGCGGGATTCACTTCGTATCATCATCCTCTTCCTCTTCTTCGTCAACAACGGCGGTGCTCTCCTCCTCCATCACACTAATAGTATTTGAGAGGGGTTCGACTTCTCAAAAAATGTTTCTCGTTCGGTGGCTTGCAATATCAAATATTGCATCGACCTTGCCAGTATACGCAATCCCTTCTCTTACAAATCACTTGAAGCTCCGAGCATCCAAACCTCATAGCTCCTCCATTCAAAGTTTCCTAAGCCTCAGCTTCGCAATTGTCCTGAGTTATGTCGGACTCTTCTTTTTAGCCACATATGGTGAAAGCTTAGTCTTTAGTTTGACCTTTGATCGTTTCACACGCACTGTGTTACCTTTCACTTTCTCCTACGTTACTTTTGAGGTGCATTTGGCAGGGGTGAGCATATGACAATTGTCCTTGAATTCTGGTTTTCAACCCCTATTTCATTTTTTTCAAATAAAAGATCCCCAATTTCAACATGAATCTCATCAGTAACACTTTCGCTGATTCCATATCCTGAGTTCGACTCTTCGTTTGATTCATGCACCACCTTATTCTTCTCGTTATCCTTTAACCCCCTTCAGATGATGCGGCCCAGTTTGGTTTTCATTCTATCGAAGAATTCATCAGCCTTACTCGTGACCTGAATTTCCCCTTTCTTATCGGTTTTTGTCTGTTGCATATCCTCCTTCTGGCTTTCTCCAATTTCTTCCTCACCTTTTTCTCCCGGGTGAATCCTTCATTGTCCGCACATTGTCTTTCATTTCCCAACTTTCTTCTTCTTTTTTTCCTTTTTAACTTTTTTTTAACATCTCTGCTTGAGCAAACTCGGTGACTGATGTTAGTCCTTGCGTATATCTTTAATTTGGTTTCGTACATCCAGAACTTGGGAGGACGATCGCTGGTGGTATAGCCTCTCATATCATGTCGGAGAAAATGATCGGCTCCTCCTTGAATTTGACGATGACAACAACTTATCTGATGAGCTCCAACTGTTTCTACACTAGTTCACATAATGACCCACCTCCCCACATGCATAGCACGTTGGGGTTGCTCGTTCCGGTGGCCTATTGGAACCTTGGTCTTCTCCCTGATTATCGCCTCTAGCTTGCGTATTTCCTCGGTCACCCATCATCAACGTTGTGCACTTCCTTCACTATAAAAGTAAGCCCATTCATTTTTCGAGCTAGTAATCACTTGTAAGTAAGTTGGTGAGTAAGGTTAAGATTTTCCGCCATTTTTTTATAGCACCATAGAAAACACCCTCACTCGTCTCAGTTGTTTTCTTCCAATAATTCATGTGGGTTGTGATAAGTTATGTTATCACATGAGCAAAGCGTATAGCAATCAATGTAATTGAACGCAAACACGTACTCACGAGTCACTCAATTGAAAGATAGGATTCCTAAGAAGTATTATTAACATAATGCACGATTAGCATCCCTGACGCCGCGTTTCCATAACCGCCATGTTGCCATCCGTACCTCCTTCTTACCTCGTACATCACCAACTGCCTTTTGAACCCGCTTCCATATCATCCATCATTGACAATCCGGAATACCTGTAACTAACAACTACGTAAGTCCTGAAAAAGATTGACTACGATGTACATACTAAATTTAAACGACATGCATCACTATAATCTTAGACATGTTTCAAACCAAGTTAAAAAATACTACCGGTACTTGGGCACATACTCCTTGGTGTCACTAGGATAACAATAATCAGTCGATGCTGATTCGAAACTCAAACTAGCAAGTCGCAAAAAAAAAAAATGTTCTCTACCGTTAGGTCACTATCTCGATTCTTCCAAACACATGTCACCAATTCAAGTTCGGTATGTGACCCAATTCCTCCTAACAATAAAACAAAAATTTTGCGTTGGTCACTGGCATGATACTCCAATGTGCATAGAGTACGTAAATCACACGAAAGGTCAGAACCAGACCATAAGGTCCATGCGTCAACTATCAGAACCGGATCAATCCAAAATTTGCAATCTAGCTATAAAACTCATAACAACAGATAGCAAACAGACATCTGGTCACTAGCTTGATTTTTCAAAGCACAACAAGTATATACACCGATGACATATCATAGTCATTATTCCTCGCAGGTAAAGTGAAGTAATTGTAGTTATTTATAATATTGTGATTTATCAATCACCATTTCCAATCACTTCGAGATAACTCTATATTCATGTTTTCATCTTCTGTTAAAAGACTTCGTGAATTTATAATTGTTTAGAAACTTATAAATCGTATGAAATGGTAGTGTGCAAAAGTTGTGATATACACTTAGTATTTGATGCAATACTGATGGTTCTTATTCGATGAAATGGTCATTTATTTCTCGCTATCGTAGTGGTTATCATTATTAGATGCAGTGATTACAACATCCAAATTATTGTCCTTTATCAAAGTGTATTTTTTTATTAAATATTATAAACTCAATGATTTATCGTGTGTATATATTGTGTTTATAGGAGTGAAACCCACATGCTCTACATGAAGTGAATTAAACATATATTGATGAAGTATTGTGCAAAGAATGCGATGTGTCCTCAACTAATACAAAAAAAATATATCGTTTGTATGATGAATCAATGTACGATAAATTGTTGGTTTGTGGGTGGTAACAGTTTAATACGTTGTATGACTGACACGCCTACATTGAAAAAGTGGATTCCAACTTTGAAAAAGTGATGAAACGATACTGGTTGGAGGTAGAAAAATCTAGAGAAAAGACAATTGATCAACAAATGGTTACTGAATGAATTTTCAAATATTCATTTAAAATCATAAATGAAATGTGAGGGCGTGAAGCAAATGATGATTATGTGATTGCAATTACTTCAGTCGCCACGTTAAGACTCATTTCAAAGTATAGAATGTCAGGCGTGTAAAGGATAATGTTTTATGTTTCGACAAAGATAGGGGTGCTGTGGGATAATAAACGGTAACGAAAAAAAAAAAAGTGTTTTAAAATTTGTACTGATATTAATAGTTATACTTCGTAATGGTTATTATTATAAGTAAGTTGGGTCTCGGAACGGAATGAATACATGATTGACTAATTTTGTTAACAATATCTATCTATCAACAATCATAAGTAGTAACGTTTATTGATCTGTGTCATTTTTTGCATAACTTGAACATTCTTTTACAAAGAAACACACACCCATGGATGGGATTGCACTAGGTCATGATGAATAAAGTTGTGGAGGGGGGGAAGGAGATATTATATACAATAAATATTTAATTTAAAAATCAAGTGGTAAATTTTTTAAAAAAAATGAAAGTAGTATATGAGAACAAATTTATGATTTATTTTATAACGCTATGCACGAGAATTGTTGAGGTTAAAATGGTTAACACAAATAGTGAACTCATTCTATAACTCTTATTCACGACGATTGCTTAGGTGAAAGTAGTAAACTCGTTACTTTTCACACATGTCTGTCTCTTATACACATCTAGATGTGTATAAGAGACAGCTCTCTCTCTCTCTCTCTTTGTGTTTGTGTGTGTGTGTATTTGTGTTTGTGTGTGCGTGAGCATGGAGAGGGATATGCTTGGAGTTAACAGGAAGGTTATTGCTACAATGTGTTCAAGCTGGTAAGGAGCGCCTTGGCAGCATTCAAAGCTCTATGAGAAAAGTGTGCTTCTTTGGATACGCTGTCTTCAAATAGAGCAAGTGGTGAGGATCCGACTAGTCATTCAGTCTTAGGGAAAGGTGAGCAGCAGGCGGAAATATAGGGGTCAGAACAAAGAGAGGGGTAGACACTTGTGATGTATTAGCATCAAGTAGAATAGGTTAGTAACCTTGATCCTTACATCTCTGCTTCTAGTCTATCTCCAAGGTAGGGAACGACCGGTATGACTCCTCCTATCTTCTTTCGTCTTTTCAAGGCCATGACACCGATAATCACAAGTGCACAATTTTGGCCGGTTAAGAACTCAAAGTAGGCGCTGTTTACCTTGCTAGACTCATTAGTGAGACGAGTTTCGTTATCAAAGCAAGTCTTAAGACTCTTAAGTTGGTTTTGTAGGGAATAATGAGTAGAGGTGTAGATTAGCGACGACAGTTAATACAGATTGAAAAACATTTTGGGACATGCCTACAATATAAAGTTTCATAATCCTTCTTCACCACTTTTCTGTTTTCAACGCGCGTACTATTTATTGCTAAAGTGTGTTCATTTTCTCGATGAGGCCAAATTTGGTCATTTGAACAACATTGGGGTGCTTTGGAAAGGGAAAAGTTGTAAAACGAGGCAAAAGAAAAAATTGATGTAGGCAACAACAATATTTAAGGCTGTGTAGCATCGTGTTCAGGCTCGGTGACCGAACCTGAATGCTCAGGACCGAGCCCGAATGTGGCCCAAAATCGACCGAGCCCGAACTTCTTTTTTTTATGTAGGGGTTGGGCGGCACGGGGGGGCATTGCCCATCACTCCTGAACATATACACATGGACACACACAGACACACACACCCCACACACGCACTCTCTCTCTCTCTCTCTCTCTCTCTCTCTCTCTCTCTC